ATTCTTCTACCGCAGTTGCTTCCGTTCGAGATAGCGTCAACAAACATTAATTATTGTGAATTTAATCATTCTGCTAATAATTATTCCGTTGCTCGGAAAAAGTCCGCTGAGAGAAGTGTAAGATTTCCATCGAACCACCCATGTTAACGGCCTCTCAGAAATAAGATGAACATGTTTCTCTTATTAGCCGAAACGAGTCCCAAATTATCCGCAATACTGAATTTCCGCGAAACGAAGGACTCGAGTTCGGCCGATTAAAAAGGAACCGTGGCCGCCATTTTATCGGCACGACAGACCATTCGAGAACAACTCTCCCATAATCGATTCACCATATTCTATTAAACTGACCATATATTACCCCTATTTTACTTACCCGACAACTATACACAAATGCTATAATACTTCTCTTAACGCCGGACGTTTCCGTTCTACTTACCCGACCATAGACTGCCCCAATTCTACATGACTAACAACTTAGAGTCCTATATTCTAGACTCTAGACTACCCCTATTCTGCCGGCGATGACCGCAAACCATTCACAGATTCCTTACTCAACCACAAAGCATCCCCATACTCCTTGGGTCGCCACAGACCATTTCTATAGTACTGCACATCCCTGTGTAACTTAATTCGCACAATTTCAATCCAGCTATTCCCGGAACATCGTACAAGGATTTTGCGAAGCGTGTTTGCATTTCCATGCTCGTTTAGCCAAAATTATAGTTCAATTAAGCTCCGTTACACTGGCTACCGTTTCGCGTGACTTTTCCAAGCAGAAAGAAGCTGCGAAAATGTATTATTTCGTATCTTGAAATTCCTTTTACTAGAAAATAAAAGACTTTTTATTCGAATATTTATCTTGTTGAAAATACTTCAATGTAAACCGAAGGTTCTCTATCCTGAAAAGCTCTTTGTGTAGTAAATACCGATTTGCGAAGGAATTAAATTATTGTTACACGTTTTGCCATATTTTCCGATCTCCTGTATTTGTGTCTTTTTCCAAAGTCGAATATAAAGTGTTTTCTGTCATGGATCATCGATTTATTTCTTGCATTTTTCGAAAATTATAGGAATGATTAAATTTGGGAAGATAGATAATTGATAACTAAGATAACTAAATTATCTTTCCATGGGTTTATAAATTGATAAAACAATATATATTCTTACCAAATTGCGTCAAAACAAAAATAGTCAACTATTAGCATTATTATTCATTAATATTCAATAAACAATCTTTCCATGGGTATATAAATTGATAAAAAAGATAAATATTCTTACCAAATTACGTCAAAACAAAAATAGTCAATTATTAGCATTGTTATTCGAATAATTTTGCAATCTCTATTCGAATAACTTATTCGAATAACTTATTCGCATAATTCTTTACTCGGATGAACAGATAGAATAATTCACGACGAATAATGATTAATTGTTATTCGAATGAAGTATTTGACTACAAATAATTCATTCGGATAATTATCTTACATAAACATTTATATTCGAATAATGCCCAGTGTAAACGAAAACTGATTTTTCGAATCGTCTCTTGGCGAAAGCATTTCGTTACGTCCTCCGGCAAGCAAACGACGCTATCTTCTTTTATAGAAAATCGATCGTAGGAGGAACGAGGTCGAAAGAGAACGACAGGGAAATCGTGATCATTCCGGGCAGCGGCTGCAAAGGTGTCGCAGATCGATTTCGAAAGATCTCGCTTGACTCTCCGGGCCGGGGTTAACTGAATCTCTATCTCGGCGAGTAGGTTAACGAGGTCGTAACCTACATTGCGCATCCGATGCTCCAGTAAATTAAAGCAATTATTGTAATATCGCATAGAACTACATTTTACAAACTCGAACGGCCGTGGGAGCGTGGCGAGATCGCGGCGCATTGTTCCCGAAAATCGCCGAGAAAATTCTTCGCGCGCGGCGATCTCGCGAAGTCCAAGGTTACATCGCGGCCGTGCTGCTGGCCTTTCAGGGACCGATCGAGTGGAATCCACTTGACCCATTCAAAGAACGAGCTGCTGGCAGGCTCGGAATCTTGGAAAATGCCCGCGCGGGTCAGAAACGTGCCTGTGGACTCAGCTTTTTCGAAAATGACCTTAAATCATGTGCTACGTCGATGAAGTCTACGCTTTTCTGGCACATTGTTGCAGTGAGAGTCTACTAACATTGCCGAGCCATTAATACGAGGAGGCATATCTTTTTATAACAGTGAAAAGACTCGATTTATTTAGACCTCGTACGATTTTTATCGTAATACATGCTTCAGTTAAGAAGTTTTGTTAAAAAATTGCTTATACAATATTGTAGAAATTACTTGTACACATTTCTGTAATTACAATAACTGTGAAAGCAAAGCTCAGGGAACAATCATTTTTACTGGTTTAGTTGTTCTAGTATTAAATGTTGTGAATTAATTGGTTATTATTTATTATGTCTATAGCTAGGTTATTATCTTATGTCTATGTGTATTATTTATTACATCCATAGCGCAACAATTTTTGAGCTATCCGAATTAAATTTGAAGGTGTCAAGTGGAGCTAGTGTAATTTTTATGAAGTATGCAATAAGTAGTATCGCTTTTAAGAATGTACGAATATTTTATTTCGTTTAAATGGTAGCATGAGAGCATTTGCAATATTAAAGTATTCTTTTAACCATTGTACCCTTCTCAAATCATACGAGCATACAACAGTAACATATAACAAAACAATTAAAAATCTAGATCATGTTAATATTATATAATAGCCTTGCATAAATTTTATTGGTAAATAATTATACAATATTTCTAGAAAAATGTAAAATATGTGTAGAAAAATGTACAATACCTGTGGAAAAATTAACACTAAAATGTCTGCAATTCGTAGAATAGTTCCTAAGTTTTTAGTTACGATATCTTTTTGTTTATTAAGGAAAACGGTGGAAAGATTTTCGAACACGTTCGCGGATAAGGGCGCGCATCATCCCTTACCCTTGCGAAACGTTTCAAGGGTAAGAATAGACGAAAGTTTGATAAAGAGGGTTCGAACAGGTTTCGCCACGTGGCATATGGGTCACCGAGGTCGCGACCTAAATTGTATTTTGATGCTGACGCGGGAAATTCACACGATTAATTTACGTGAAGTGCGACCACAGAGTTTTATGTAATTCCTCTTAACGATGGCGTACCAAGCAATTTCAAAGCTCGATAAATTCTTGGAAGTTTATACCCTATGAGAGGGACTAAGAACGTCGTGATATGCCCCTAATTGCAAAACTGCCCGGAACAGAGCGGGATTCTGGATAGTTCTTAACAATTTCGCGAAAGCTGCAATGAGCCTGAATGAAAATATCGGACATCGTATAATCTCATAGATTGCCAGAGCATTTTTTGACTGGAAAATTTCGACTCGTAGGATCCAGGTTATTGGAGAAAATTGTGTCTTTGAAGGGAAATAGAATAAAGTTAGAATAAACGTTTACGAATACACCAAATATACAAATAATATGAAAATTTGATAAGGGTAGTAATTTAGTTTGTCTATAAAGAAACTGTAATAATACATTGTTAGATAGGAACGGAGATTAAGAATATATTTGATAATATTTGAGAAATTCGAGTTGTAACGCAATCTACGTAATTTACAGTAGAATAATTATTATAAATACAGAACAAATGATCCGCGTGAAAATCATAATAAAATAATCCAATAATTTAGAGACTACAAAAATATGAATCTCCTGAAATCTATGTCATGCAAAGAAAATTAATTTTTATTATTTTTTATTTGTCGCCTTTTTCATAAAAACATAATGTACATTTCGGCATAAATCAATTTTAAATCAATTTAACCTGAAAATATAAAAATTGCGCTATTACACGTAACGGCAAAACGCTTGAACTGTCAGCCGAAGTTATCTACAGATGATGATCTGTACCTGCAGACGATATCTGCCACCACAGATATAGTACCGACTCTGTAGAAAATGCTGTGCTACAATAGCGAACTCTACCCAAATGGAACGGTCAGCTAGTGAACTGCATCTGACCGCATCAGAGAAAGGTGTGTGTCTGAGATAAAGCTGCTCAATTATTCGCAAAATACGAGCCGGTATTTCTGTAAATACCGGTATAATTTTATGCATTTACCGGTGTTATTTTTTATTTAAATTAGGAATAATAGGGGAAGTCGTGAATGGAAATAATATGTTCTTTATTTCTTTCAAGGCCACACACTTGGCCTTGAGGGTCCATACCCAAATGAAGGCAAATGAATGCATTATTGCTGCAGTTTCTCCAAATCGCATTTGCAATAATAAATAGACTCTTGTGACGTAAAATGGACGTAGAAAATTCCCCTGAACATTTCTATACCCTCAGAATACTCTCTCAGAGACTAGTAATTGCTACATTTCATTAATTAATTGCTATATTTATTTAAATTAGGAATATTAGGGGAAGTCGTGAATGGAAATAATGTGTTCTTTATTTCTTTTCACGGTCAAGTCACACATTTGGCCTTGAGGGTCCATACCCAAATGAAGGCAAATGAATGCATTATTGCTGCAGTTTCTCCAAATCGCATTTGCAATAATAAATAGACTCTTGTGACGTAAAATGGACGTAGAAAATTCCCCTGAACATTTCTATACCCTCAGAATACTCTCTCAGAGACTAGTAATTGCTACATTTCATTAATTAATTGCTATATTTATTTAAATTAGGAATATTAGGGGAAGTCGTGAATGGAAATAATGTGTTCTTTATTTCTTTTCACGGTCAAGTCACACATTTGGCCTTGAGGGTCCATACCCAAATGAAGGCAAATGAATGCATTATTGCTCCAGTTTTTCAAAATCGCATTTGCAATAATAAATAGACTCTTGTGGGATAAAATAGACGTAGAAAATTCCCCTGAACATTTCTATACCCTCAGAATACTATCTTAGGGACCAGTAATTGCTATATTTCCCCTTATTCTTCCAACACAAATTCGCTTTCTGTAAATTAAGACACACTCAAGGTTTTCAATAATTTATTCGTTGTATCATATAACATAGAGGCAAAATATTTCACGTACAAATATTGAAAATAGAGTGACCGACGACTTCGTATTTCTCGCGTCTAGAAACACCTCGTTTCTGGGCCTCGTCAAACTACTCGTCGACGTGTAACGAATTCTATACTATTTACAAAGAGTACTTTCGAAAATCTCCGATCCATCTTCCGTTGATTATGTTTTGGTACAGTTACGGATACGCGTACGACGAAGCAACAGTTTCGCACTGTACACGATCGTTGCGAAATATCAGTGAATAACGCGTCTGTCACGTGTGCTATAATAGCGTCGTAATCGTCTAAATCGCTCTCGCGTGTAGCGCGCTCTCGCTCAGCCTTACAGTGTTGTTTTTAGTCTTAAAATGCGATGTTCAACATTGCTTTGGGAAAGTGTATAACGTTCGAAGTGATGCCTAGCCTGGTAACGATTGTTGCCGCTTACAGTTAGAAAAACAGCGTACTCGTAAAATCTTTATAAAAAAACACCTCTATTCCGCAACAATGTCGCGGAATTTTCCTTCAGTTTTCATGCAAGCACGACGAAACATGATTTCTACGTGGATAAAAAGAACGACGATAGAAAATTCACCGAACGATTACAATCGAATGGAAACATCGAATAAGGTTCCACGTTATCTTCAAAAGACGTGCAAGACTTGAGACGCTTATTCGAGATTTTTATTCGACTCGTTCGACGATTAATTTCCATTCGAAAATATATAATCTGTTCCTAGCGTTCTCGCAGAGAGCCGAGATAGGCATTCGACAATAAATAATCCGATTTCCCTTCGCCGAAGGGTGTTCGACCGAATGATCTCGAAATGGTCGACGTTTCGTATAGCAAACCGAGCCCACGATATACGTCGCTGTCACGACTATTATCATAGTAACGCCCGTGGTAAGTCACAGTTTGCTGTCGATCACTTTTTCTCAGCCTTTGAATTGAGTTTCGATAGGAAGTCCGTCGCCTGGTTGTCGCCCTTCCTATGCTCCAACGCTTGGAGCACGTCCGTACCTAAATACGAGACGAAATCTTAAGTTATTACGTCAACGATGCTGCACACTCGCTAAGTTTCAGGGAAGTTGTAACATACTTCTCTTCGTCGGACGCGAGAGCATCAAGTGAATTTGGTCAAGCGATTCCATTCCCTGATCGGATCCGGTGTCCGCGATCTCGTTGAACGACAGGAAGGCTTCGGCCAGGAATCTGGACCTGAACAGGTCCTTGTCTTTCAACTCGAAGGCGATTATCCCGTCCTCGGTCGCCCTTTGTTCCGCGGTTAGAGGACTGGAACGGATTTCATGGTTTTAGAACGACTGGTCCAGCTGGAAGCGTTTGCGCTGACCATTCATAATGATTTCATCCTTTCTGTTCACAATTTCTAACATTTTGACGATCCGTTTATCTTAATGCTTTGCACTCGAGACTATTTTAACGCGAGAATGAAGACGTTCGTTTCAACCTACAGTATTTCCATTTGGTGTGATCGCTTTTATTTGATACGTTTGAAATAGAATTTAAATAAAAATAGTATAAGTTGTACTATAAGTTATACTATTTTTATTAAGAATTTTCATGTTATTGAAATTTTGATTTTACAGTTATTCGTAATTGACCCTTTGCAGTCGAGCGGAGACTCTGAGGCGACGCTAAAAGTTGCTACGTTATTTCCGAAAGAATTTCCATGTTATTAAAATTTTGATATATTGTCAAATAATAGAAGTAATAACTTAGAGTATAAGTAAATTAGACATATAGGTTATAGTATAATATAGTTATAGTATAAGTAAATTAGACATATAAGTTATAGTATAAGTAAATTAGACATATGAGTTATAGTATAATATAGTTATAGTATAAGTAAATTATACATATAAGTTATAGTATAATATAGTTATAGTATAAGTAAATTATACATATAAATTATAGTATAATATAGTTATAGTATAAGTAAGTTATACATATAAGTTATAGTATAATATAGTTATAGTATAACTCTATATAGTATAGTATAACTTATATGTACTTATTGTAACTTATAGTAAGTATAACTAATATGTATAATTTATTTTTATTATTTTTATATTACTTCTTAATTACTTATATTAATATAGTAATATAGTAGTAATATAATATATAATATATAATAAATAAATAGTAATATAATTACTTATATTACTTATACTAAGTTACACTATAACTTATATATGTATAATGTACTTATATTGTAAGTTATTACTTCTATTATAAAATCGTAAAAAAGCAATCTAAATTAAAAGTATTCGTTAAAACGTGAATCTTCGTGCAAGATCAAAGCAGCAGGGTCCAAGCAAAAATACAGTTGTCATCCAGCAAATGTTATTATCGCGAAAACGAACTTATAACAAGAACGTAAATATAAAAATCCGAAGCTGAGCGAAGCTCAAGCGAACAATCACGTTGGAAGTTATGGTACTCACATGTTGAAGATTTCATCAAAAAGAGGATAAAGGTTCTCTTTCTGTACGTGTGTCTTCGGCAATTTCAGATCGGAGAACTTCTCCTCGGGAAGTAGCCTGATTTTCACGTAAGAATCGCAGCTGCCTGAAAAAAGAAACGCAACCATGATCTCAAGGTGCTCCACGGAACCACCGGAGGACCCCAAATGTGGACTCATGCACGGTGAAGGCGACTATCATTGCTGTCTGGGTCTCCTGTCTACGAGGTTCCACACAATTTACGTATTCGTGTCTCTATTCATAAATCATACTAATAAAGTGAAATAAAAGAAAAAAAGAGAGATTTCACTACCGAGTACAATTTCTACAGCATCGGGGAACCTTATAGAGGTTTGCATCAGTCATGACAAGTCTCGTGGCTCTCGGAGACGGACAAAAAAAAATCATCGTGAACGGTTCTGTTCTAGGCTATGATGCAACGAAACAAATTGCAGTCAACAAAACGGACAACAACATTCCTGTCATGCATATTCTATGATCAATCCGTGGGCAGGCAGAACTGAATGAGAGAGAGAGAGAGAGAGAGCACTAAATTCGGAACAAGAGATGAAGGAAGAGCGTGTTTCATTGTGGATCCACGATTACATACTTGTCTTCCATTCTTTCAGTCTTTGTTTAGATATTGTATTGAGCTTGCGCTTGAGAGTAGACACCTTGCCTATCAAATCGCCTACAAAATCGAAAGATAATGTCATTCTCCTTCGTCGCGAAACCGCTCTCGTTCATTCCCGGCGTTCGCTGGGCGAGTCGGCGACGAAAAGAAATTCGCGGGACGAAAACCAACGAAGTTGTAAATTATACTAATCGTCGCTTCTATTTCTAGCACGCAGAGTGATTGTGTAAAGCGATCTGTTGCGATCTGAAACCTGAATTTTTGCCAAAAATTTGATTTTTTTTAAACTAGTTTGTAAAAGAACGCTTGAAGACCAAATGCTGATTTTGTCACAACTTTATAAAATATTTTAATAAAATATTCATTTTTCGTGATAGATCGGGACCATTTCCGGTAAAAGAACGAACTGAGTCGCGCACATTTTCAATTAAATTATAATCTAGATAAATTAATAATCTAGAATGTAACAGTATGCACATTTTCATGTAAATTATTTTTTAACCGGTGGTCCAGAATGTTTTTCATTAAATGAGTACTTACATAATATAATATATATATAATAAATTAATGTATAATATATAATAATATATAATAAATTATAATATAATATATTATAATATATTATTATTATATTATTATATATAATATATATATATATATTATATTACAATATATTATTATTATATTATTATATATAATATATATATGTTATATATATAAATCCGGAGCGAATTTCATTAAATTTTCAGGTGACTTATTCTTTAATCAATGATCTAGAGCGATTATAATTAAATCGATCACTTTAGTTCGACCACACTGCGTGCAACTTAAAACTTCATCGCGTGTAAAAGGCCAAGTCTAATTAGGCCGAAGTCTATCAGCTATTTTGCAGCTTCGAAGCTACCTTCGAGCCCGAATTACAAAATTACTCGAGAAATAATCGAATGTTTCTAATTGCTCACCATTGCTGTCAACCGGTCGAAGTTTCCTCGCGTTAAGAATTTGAATGTTCAACGAATTGTCAACGAACTGCGCTTTGACAGTGATCTGGCCGTAATCGGACTCCTCCAGTTCGTTTTGCTCTTTGATACGCTCTTGATGGTATCTGTGTATCAATCCAGCTGTTTCCAATCCGTGCAGCTCCAGAAGGTGTTCTATCTTCTCCAGTATCTTCACGTTCGACGTTTCGTCGGCTCCGACGTTGAAGAATCGCACGAGGGTGTGCAAAGTTCGGTGCAGATTCGAGTAGAAAGATGGCGGCCTTCTTTTCTGCAAAGTGACGTTAACAAAGGCATATACAAACTGATCGAAACGTTCAAAAATTGTTATTAGATTGTTTAGTGAAAAAGAAAAATTGAAAGGAGGCACAAAAAACTTTAAGCTTCGAATTGAATGACGACACTGCTGATTTTTATGCATTTGTATATACTCTATTAGTTAGTATAAAACTAATAACAGAAACTGCAAGCTTGTCGCGAAATAATCAACGATCCACAGCTTTAAATATAAATGTTTAATCAACGATTAATGTATCCAAGTACCTCTAAATTACTATTCACTAGTTGGTACAGCGTCTCGGACATGATCTCCCAAATAACAAGTAGAACTCTCTGGAAATTGTCTTCATTGAGATTGTCGTGCAACGTAGCCAAATTGCTATCCAAATACTGCAAAAGCCTGTCCATAGCGTTGCTGGTAGTGTCTATCAACTCTGCGCCTTCCATGAGATACCTAAATGACAAGGAACAATATTAATTTACTGCTTCCACAGAGAAACAACAATCGAAAATGTCTGCTTACCTGCTCATAGCAGGTGCCATTTTGCTAGCAACCACCTGCAACAGTTCTATAATCTTGTTCCTCACAGTGTCGGTCGCGTTGTCGATAATCAGCTGTAGAGTCTGCTGACAACGTTGTGCTTCTTTCTGCGTTTTCTTCTCTGCTAAAGCGTCTATTATACTTTGAAGTCCTAGGTCGTTTGCTAGAGGCGCGATCGACGTTCTGATGTAGTCGATATTGTTTATAGCGAAACACCAGGCAGTGGACACGTAGAATTTCTTCTCGTAGACGGTGCTTTCCGACAGTTGCTCCAATTCTGTCGTCAGTTCTGCCTTCTGCGCCATTTTGTCGGCGTAGGCCATTGAGCACTTGCAGATGTCCTGAAAAATGATGGCGAGACATCGTTTGAAGACAATAAATAATAAACAAACAAACTAGCTATTTTCATGATATATAAATATTAAATAGAAAAATAAATAAATGTAATATAATATAAATAATATATATTAAATATTCAATATAAATAAACAAACTAGCTATTTTCACTAAATAATGTTTACTGTACACTTTGAACTTAGTTTCGTCTAGAAATAACATCTGTTTCGTTCTTAAAATTTAAATAATTTTACAATGATCATTGATCGAGTGCTCTCTGATTAATTCTGTTGGAGAACTCCATTTTTTTCGAACGCTTTGAATTTGTTTAACCACGTTTTAGAAAGTTTTATGCAAAGTGGTATTTGCAACATCGAAGAGACTTTCGACAGGATATCTGATAATTCCTACGTCTGAATAAATGTCTTCTAATGAAAATACAATAAAGATAGCGTTTCAACACGTGCCATACAGATCCACGAGTCTAGTCATTGATACAGAACATAACAAAATGAACAAACAAGCTTTGAATTTGCATTTAAATTTGCCTGCTGACACAATACATTTCCTAAGACCAATATTAACCCATCGCACTCGAGTGATTACCCTGAGGCACCACTAAAATTGTTATATCGCGTTCTAAGATCATTTTCATATCATCGAAGTTTAAATTTTGAATATTATTTAAAATGTAACTGTTGTATGAATCACGAGATTCAATTTCGTATGCATAAAATGCACTTCGTCCTACGAAATGGAAATACTATATATGGAATGGAAATACTCTCTCTCTCTCTCTCTATATATATATATATATATACTATGGAATGGAAATACTCTCTCTCTCTCTCTCTCTCTCTCTATATATATATATATATAATGGAAATACTTTGTCCTATAAATGGAAATAAGTTGGAAAAATGATCTTAGATTTACACTTAAACGGCTTCGAGCGCAAAGGGTTAGTCCATTTCCGGCAGATACGAAGTTAAAAGCAGAGTAGCTAAAAGCTTGCTAGAGAAAATCGTGGATCACTCACATCGATGATCTTGCCTATGAAGGTATAGGAGCCCTCCACGTCGGGCCAGGCCAGCTGCGTCCAAAACACTTTGATTTGGTAAAATATTGTTAATGTATCCACCGCACTCGAGCTATATTGAACGCTGTTATCGACAGCTTGCAGCGGATCGAACTCGACCGCCTTGTCTATCCGTGTCAGTGCTTTGTACACTGCTATGTCAAGCCAGTGGGCAACTCCAGCTCTGAACCACTCGTAGTATGACTGCACCTTCATATCTTCGAGCTGACCCTCCGCGCAGAGCACCTGGCCGAGCCTGAAATCGTGACACCGTTCGAGAAATCGATTTTAAAAAGTTTTGTGCAAAGTGGTATTTGCAACATCGAAGAGACTTTCGACAGGATATCTGATCATTTCTACGTCTGAATAAATGTGTTCTAATGAAAATAAGATAAAGATAGCGTTTCAACACGTGCCATACAGATCCACGAGCCTAGTCATTGATACAGAACATAACAAAATGAACAAACAAGCTTTGAACTTGCATTTAAATTTGCCTGCTGACACAATACATTTCCTAAGACCAATATATTTGGTCTTTCGACAGGATATCTGATAATTTCTACGTCTGAATAAATGTCTTCTAATGAAAATAAGATAAAGATAGCGTTACAACACGTGCCATACAGATCCACGAGCCTAGTCATTGATACAGAACGTAACAAAATGAACAAATAAGCTTTGAATTTGCATTTAAATTTTCCTGCTGACACAATACATTTCCTAAGACCAATATTAACTCTTCGCCGATTCCAGAATCTTAACCGAACATCGAACGAATGTCGAGTCCTCTCACGTTAATATAATCTCACGTTAATAACACCCATAGCTTACATAGCGTATCTCTGCAGCGTGAGATAGAGCTCGAACAAAGTCGTTCCCAAGCTCAACTCGACGTCCGAGTTGCTAATCTCGATCCTCTTCATCCTTCCGCAGATGTCCTCGGTAATGACCATGCACATGTCGCTAAGCCTCTTCTCGTACATCATGTACAGCGTCCTCGCGTATGGGAAATTGATTCGCCTAAAATCCAATGAACACAATCAGTCTGTTTCGCAACGCCAACAGTCGAATTACCGGTGAAGGTTCGAAGGTCGACGGTTCTTACTTGATGAACAGCTTGTCGTAATTATCGATGGCGCTCTGCAGATCGGCCCTGATCAGCTGGATCACCTTGATGTGGTACTTGAGCGCGTCTTCGTCGGAATCGGTTTCCGCGGAGTTGTTATTCAATATGTGCTGGAACCTAACATATTAAACAGCTCAGACGAGGTATGTAAGAGAAAGGAGAGAGTGTTTGATCGACGTTATGCTATCGTACCATTCGATGCCACCCTGTTCCACGGTGAACTCTAACGCTTCGAGGACACCCGGCTTCTCGTCCGGGTCTGGGAACCACGGATACATCTTCGTGGGGAAGAGGTTCACTTCATCTGGCACTTTGAGCGACGAGATGGCTGACAGAATGCTAGATCAAGAGATTGATATTTAGTTAAATTGAAGGGATAGGGCACTCAAGATTTTGGACTGGAATTTTATGGTAGAATTTGTAATTATAGTTGAGTATCGTTATCACTGAGTTATTTTTTAACTGGATATTGCTATGGCTGAATTACTTTATAACTGAAATTCTACTGTTTTTTAATATAGCAATGTAATGTAGCAATCGTTTTTATTGCGATGTAAAATGACAATGCACTTATATGCTATAACATTGAAATTCATTAGGCATATTTTCATGCATTCAATTCTATATAACTTTTATTTTTTCGACATTGCTATGCACTTTAATGTGATGGCGAATTGGTTCACTGCTTTCCATTTTATTTTGTCTTTTATTTTTGTATAAAAAACGTAACTATTAAAAGTATGATACGTTTTTTTTAGAGTAATCAGAATAACTGAGAATAACTATTAAAAGTATGATATTCGGAGCACTCGGACAAAATGTGACTAATCAAACTTCGGGTATCACAATTAGATTAAGAATAAATCACACATCTGGTTTTGCAGCTCGTTGCAATTATGACTGTCCGCGAACATAATAATTGTGACAGTCTAAAAAGATAGTTACCCTAAAATCGCAGAAAGCTGCGCCATAGAGTTCTTGTCACCAGGCGTCATCCTCCTGATCTTGCGCAAGCTATTAAGGCACGAGAACAAAAGTTTCTTGGTGGCGTCCCAGAAGAGTCTAGTCTCGTCCAAAGAGAACAGCTCGTTCTCCAGGGGCCTTAGCAGGTCTATCACTAATTTGCTGAACACGTTGAAATTTAGGGGATGTTCCTGGTGAATTCTGGAGTACTCGATCCATTGCGCCAAGAACACGTTCCTGCTTAGCAAACCTCTTTGCGCGCTATGCTGCAAGAGCAAGACCTCCGCTGGCGACGACCATCGACCGCACCAACAGTATTTCTCGATTTTCTCTGTCTCTATCTCGTGCATTAGCAGCACTCTGATTAGGTGTCTGTGCTCTTGAGCTGCCACGCGATTGTTGTGCTCTGTGCTGAAGGCGAGCCTAAGCTTCACCACTCCTCGTCGTTTCGATTTGTTTTTCTTCTCCAGGGAGTACCACATCGTGTGTCCTGACGTTGGTATGTCCTGGCGTGGAGGATTGGCGATTAGGGTAAATTATTAAATTTGGGACCTGTTTGGGACTTGTTTGGGACCTATTTGGGACTTATTTGGGACCTGTTTGGGGCCAGTTTGGGACCAGTTTGGGACTGGTTAAATTTGGGACCTGTTTGGGACTTTTTTGGACCTGTTTGGGACCAGTTTGGGACCTGTTTGGGACTTGTTAAATTTGGGACCTGTTATTAAGTATATAGGGACCTGGTATTATTAAATTTAACCTGTTTGGGACTTATTTGGGACCAATTTGGGACTTGTTTGGGACCTGTTTGGGACTTATTTGGGACCTGTATAGGGACCTATTTGGAACTTATTTGAGACTTATTTGGGACCAGTTTGGGACCTTTTTGGACCTGTTTGGGCCCAGTTTGGCACCCGGTACATAATTATTTTTTGAAAATGGTACCTTCAGTGGTATTCGACATCGACCGATGAACTCATTGTCGTGACTCCCCGTGGTGGCGGTTACCGCGATCTCCTTCGCAAGTTTCACCAAACCTCGAACCCCTTTTACGTCCTTCACCTTGCTCATCTTCTCGGGCACTGTTTCGGCCGCGTCGAAGTCCCTGAAGTACAAATCCTCAGTGGAAACATACTAAACTCGCATTGATCGCCTACGTTCTGTCTTGCCAGACTTACCAGACTTCCAGGAACAATACGTCGTTTTCTGGGTCGTCCAGTGGCCTGCAACAACGATCAAGACTCAATGTGAAACGTTCGAATACACCTTTAATACTCATATTCAATGAATTCATTGTTAACGCGAACAGAAGATTTTGTTTCAATGTTTGTGTTCTTGCAGCCGTGTCTGCAATCTAATTTCTCAATTTCACAATCTAATTATCAAAATTGGTATCCGAATACAGTAATGTCTCTCTAATTGACGCTCAGATTGTGACACAAAAATGGACAATTTGGGAAGAGGGGATACGATTATTCGAGCCTCGTAGCTCGTTTTCATAGCTGTTGACGATCGATAACCATAAAAAACAAGCCACAAGGCTCGAACAATCGTATCTTCTCTTCCAAAATTGTCCATTTTTGTGCACAATCAATTAGGGAGACATTACTGTAGATTTACAAAGAAAAATCGCGATTCCTCAATAAAGTTTATATCTATATAAAGTTTATATATATATTTTTGTATATATATAGTTGTGCAGCTATCAATTTATCAAAAGCAACAAGTAAATCTAGGACTTTTCTCAGACCATGAATCGAATTTTATGCATTTGCGAAGTAGTGAGCACCAATCAAATCAAATATAAAGTGACATAGCATTGAAAATGATGCTCTGTTCAAGTAGAATTTGGTATAAAAAGTATCCTAACGAAAATATATATTAAAATATATTATACTCCCTGAGAGAGGAGATCCGAGTGCAAAGAGCAAAATTGCTGAATAATAGCGAAAAGTGATTAGCCAATGTGCACTGCGCGCGAACTCACAGTTCAAAGTGTTCCTCCCATATAGGACTAAGCGTGAACGTTTTAACGGCAGTGTTGTATCTTCTGGTCGGCGCTGACTCGAGGTAAAGGGCGCAGAAGGGGTCGCTTTTGCCGTTCGAGTCCTTCGACGCCAATTCTTTCGCCTCGATCACTTCGACGTTCAAGTGCATCTCCGGCGGCTGCGCAAATTAATTAGAAGCGTCCCGATCAGTAATCTAAACAATATATCATCCATTTCGAAGTTTGAACGCAGCGTTGAGAAGCGCCTACCTCCATATTTCTCGTCTTCTCTAACACGCTCTCGTGCGTCTCGTTGTCAACTTTGAATGCATTTTGTAGATGATTCAACAGCGTTTCTTGTGCACACTCCTGGGACACGTCGTAGCCGATCTGATGCTGGGTCATGTAAACCAGAGCCGCGTAAAGCTCCTCGATCTGGAAACAACGGGCCCGGTATATCCAAAGAATTCCGCGTGAAATTCGTTAACGAATTATATGTTCTATTTAACGAAGCATTTAATCAGTGAGTGGACTTATGTGTGCCTCAGTTTTTATCTCTGCGTGATGTGCAGTTCTTAAATAACTACGTTCTGAGTAATCTCCGGTTCCTAGAATTATTCGATTACTCACTGGTAGACTGTGGATCATTATGCAAATTTAGGATCTCTCTGACAATATAAAAATTGAACAATTTTATGGCTTTAATTTCATCGAATATATTTTCTATTTTTACGGTGCACCGCGCTCGCGTGTTTCATAAATCCGCGAAATATCCGCAGTCTACGGACACACAGTTTCATCGAATTTCCAAGTTCATCGTTGTGTATCGTCGAGCTGAAAAAAAAATCATTTTAACACTAAACCTACCAAGCAGTAACACTAACTGGCACGTACTGCTTCACAAAAGTGAGAAGACCGAATTTATTTAGAATTTGCAAAGTTGTTATTATAAAACTTGCTCCAATAATGTAACTTATTCAAGCGTTTTCCGTGAAAAGGTCTCGGAACTTTGCAGAATTGTAAAATAAGAAAGCGACCATTTTGACCGCGGTAGGTTTAGTGTTAATTCTTCTGCATTCGCGAGAGCGGCCCTTCGAGTCCTCTCCGTTTACTCTCCGCCTCGTGATCATCGGTAGTTAGATTATCGATAAACGGAGCGCAATCCGTCTGCGTCATTTATAATTGTAGCATCTGCTGCTCATGACGCGTTGATAGCCAGCGCTATCGACGTTGTACACGCGCCAGCGTTTCAGCCGCTTAGACATCGGTGGAAATGCTCGAGGTGAAATACACGGGGTTCAAAGGTTCCCGATCGACGCGTCTCGGCACTGTTCTCGCGGACGATCAAACAATTACAAATCGAAAACACGAGCCGGAGACTAGGCGCCCCAGAAATTTCTATCGAACCGTTCGATTTTCAACTTTTACCGAGATCACGAACGAATCTCTATCCCCTCGGACAGCATATAAACAGTACTAAAGTTCAAGGAACTGAAGACAATAACTCGGCCTTCGGTGGCTCGAATCTGTACAAAGTAAACGCCCAAATAAACAAGTGTCCATCAACGCGATAAAGAAACACCGCGATAATACTTTTCTCGTCGAGCTTCGGGAAATTTTCGATGCAATTGAAATTGCTGGATTCGAACACCCGTCGATGATCACGCGTTCGAACAATGCGCTGCCTAAACAATGCGATTGTGTCGAAATATTTGTACGTAATAGACTCTTTAAAGATAGATGCACGAAAGAGTAAAAAACAAATAAACTGCGTTACATCTACAACGTCCGATTTCGAAGGAAAAGATCTAACAATCTAATAATAAATTGTTTCGAATTTATCGTGTTCGATTAAAATTAACGCAATTACATTTCATCTGAAGCCATTTATACTTTACAATTCGTATCGGCGAAGGTCAGCTGTCATTTTGAACACATCTGAAAGAGACATAACCGTCTAGAAATAAAAAAATGAATAATAAACTCGCAAGACTGATTCACACGTGTCTCATAAAAAAGTCTCCTTTATTTCTCTAGCTCCTATAAAACAATTACAACGTAAACGTTCCAAACAGCGAACAAATGAAAACCAGGATCGATGAAACATTGTCCCGAACACTTTACAAACAATTGCCCGATCGCAGCAGAATCGACTCACCGTCATAGCCTGAAGCAAAGTGTTCATTCTCTTCTCGATCTCCACCTTGGGCACACCGCGGAAGGTGTTCCTTCCCCGATTCAGGGTGGCCACCCCCAAAGACGGGCTCATGCTCACCATTTTCGGCGCACCGGCACTGTTCTTTCTTTCACTGATCGATCATTTCACTTTCGAGTTACCATCGGGGGCCGCACGATACACGCGACAGCCTCACGCTGATATTTATTCCGGGATCACTTTCAGTAGCCAAATTCCATCATCCGCGACGAAGCCGCGTCGCGCATGTTCGTCGCCGGAAGCTTCGGATCGGGGTCTCGAGACGCGGACAGGACAATTGCGACTTCGACTAGTTCGTGAAACAATGCGAATCGCCGCTGTCAGACGAGCTGCTCCCGGAAGGTGGAGGATCTAGCGCAGCCCGACAATGACCCGCGGACGCATTGGCCGGAAAACGAAGCTCCTAGATCCGAACAATGACGTTTACGCGGCTACGCTCGCGGCCTCGATCGGGAAAGCCCAGATCCTTTCGGGCTCTTTCATCCGCGATCGACCGATCGCGGACTATACTCGGCGCGATGATCGAATCCCTGTCTCGGGGAGAGATTACTGGCGACTTTAGAGTCGGAGGAGCGCGAATCGTCGAGGCAGTGGTGGTGGAATCAATTGTTTGTTTGTGACTCTGCACCGTTCTTTATATCGGTCGCGCTTTGTCTATAGCAATTTCTCCCTAATTCGCGCTAAGATTGCGCACGAAAATGGTCAATTTGGGAAGAGAAGGTTCGTTTTTATAGTTGCCGATTCTCAGTGATTGTAAAAACGTGTCCTAAGGCTCGAATAATCGTATCTGTTCTATTCCGAAATTGTCGATTTTCTGCGCAATCTGAGCGCGAATTAGGGAGAAATTATTGTATCGTTTACGAGACTGCGGATTTTACGCAATTTTTGTGAACGTGGATGAATAGAATATGAATAGAATAATAGAATATAACATATGTAATATATAATAGAAAATGAAGTATTGAAGTGTAATAAAATACTACAAAATAAGCGTCGAAGTCATTAAGGTTATCCGCAGTCTATTTATCACAGTATTATGCTTTGTGCTTTTGATAATTTAAGTGGCATCTTCCTTATAGTCGATCGACTTTTATCTGCAGAATTGAAAACTGTTCAATTTACGGGGGATTTGGTGTTGTGATTTCAGCGCGAATTTTTCTAGAGTTTTTGATGAATTCCAGTGAAATTTAAAGATAACTGCAATAACAGTTTTGTTGCTCGGAACGTAAATTAAGCTTAGTAGATTCTGTTAAACTCTATTTTTTGTTCACAGGTTGGTCATTCTTTAATGATTGTGTATTTTACAAATTCATAGGAATGCACCAATAATTAACTTGTAGAATAAAGCGTACATTATATCAACAAAATGGATATTTAAACTGCACAATCACTATTGAACGATCATCATTTTTCTGATTCAATAAACTTATAAGCGAGTTTAATAAAAGTACCACTGAACGTTTCATTTACAAGAACTGTTATTAAAAAAAATCGATTTCCCTTAAATACCATGAAATTAGATATTTTTAATCTGTAACTACTAAGGTCAATATTTTATCAAATTAAATATTAGTAAGAAAGACAGAGTCGATTAAATAGTCAGTTAAATAACAATGTGAATTTATTCCTAGCTTAACAAAAGCACTGATCAGAAAAAAAAGTGAATTTCTATCCCTCGAGAAACCATAAAATTAAATATTTTCAATCAGCAACTACTGCATTCGATACTTCATCAAGTAAAATATAGATCACAAAATAAAGCCAATAAACTTTGTATGAAATAAATAAATTTCTAGTCCAGTTAAATAATAATGTGAATTTATTCTTAGCTCAACAGAAGCACTGATCAGAAGAAAAATGAATCTCTGTCCCATCAAAAACCATAAAAAAAAATTGAATATTTTCAATTACTACTGAATTCGACACTTTTTATCAAGTAAAACATTGATCAGAAAATAATATCGATAAACTCTGTCTTAAGTAAACGAATTTATAATCCAGCTAAACAATAATGCGAATTTATTACTCTCAGCTTAACAGAAGCATAGCTCAAACAGATGAATTTCTCGAAAAATCCCCAGTCAACAGCAACCATAAAAATAAACGTTTTCACTAAATAGCTACAAGATCGACGATTCTATTAAGTAAAACATAAGTCAAAGAGTAAATTCGATACTATCGGTGCCACGCTAAATTAATTCCAAACTCGCTGCGTCCTTCTTTTGTCACTAGGGATATCAGCAAGTAATGGTCTGATGAATTCCTTGAGTTCACGAGAATCGAACTTTGCTTGATGCACTCACTTCCACAAGAACGATCATTTCGTACTTAATTGCCCGGCACATCCGATTCTAGATGCTGCAACGCGGCGAACCGTACTTCGCTCAAATAAAGTGGAAAACCGTGCACTTTGTTGATCGGAAGATGAACTTCCCCAGTCAGCCGCGACCTTTCATATCGAGTCCACGCACACTGACTCGACAACGGTTCGTATGCATAATCAAGGATGACCATGTGACCGGATCGACGGTCGAAATCGGTGACAGTAAAACGTTGGTGGTCGTGGAACGTGAGAATTACAGGGGACTGGTCTGATTAGATTCCGCCAAAGGAAATACACAAATCCGATCGTTTCACAGTTGTTATGCAACTCAGTGGCAATAAGTTAAATTCTCTTTGATGTTTCGATCGAGCCAGAAGTCTTTGTGTCTGAAAGCGGTGTACAGTTTTCGTACGTCAAATGTAAGACGCTGCGAAACGAAAGCGGCGAGATATTCCGCAGAAGAAAATTTTAGAGAATAGAGGACATATATTTTTGGCGAAACAATTTGTTTATAAGAGCAAATCGAGCGCACAGCTCTTCTGTTTCAGGGCTTTACGTTGCCAACGGTACCAAACAGTAATAACTTTTCGCAGAAGAAAGTTCGAGCAAAGAGAGCAAAGCTGAAACAGTGAATTTCCTCTTAAATTGTAAAAGATTAAAGTTAGATTTCTGACGTTTTTTTCAGATGCTAAAATGAAATTTCGACCACAGGAATAATCCTCTTTGAACCGATCGGAACCATTTCCTCGACCTTCGAAGGTCGCTAAGCGTTCATTTTTATACGAAAAGAGTGTCGAAAATTATGCTGTTTACAGCATCGGTGTTTATAAATCGATTTATTTATTTTTCCAAAAGCAAAAGGTACACGCGAAAGCTTCGAACCGGGGTTGCACGACCGAGTTCTCACGTCTAATTTCAGAGCGCGACCCTGAAACGTTTAAAATTCACTTTTTCCTTGGGCAATGTTACGCAAGGCACTTAGCAGGACGTTTCGTTTACCCGGCAAATATCGAGTGCTCTTTTTTTAGCGAGCCGCAGCCGATCGGGCGCTCTGAAAGATCGGCCGGAATGCTGTGACGTCTGACCAAAATAGTGATTCCACCCGGTGTGGAAAAACGATTCACCGAAATACATCCGACAAAATTCGACGAAACGGAATTAAAAAGAGTACGGAGGAGATTGTAACAAAAACCGGTGAGCGAAGAAAATTGTAACAAAAATATGTGTAGAAAGAAAATCGTACCACCAATTTAGGTGTAGAAAGAAAATTACGGTAACAAATTAGGTGTAGGAAGAAAATCGTAATAACGAATTGAGTGTAGGAAGAAAATTATAGTAACAGATTAGGTGCATAGAGAAATAACAAATAGAGTGCAGAAAGAAAATCGTACCATCGAACTGAGTATAGAAAGAAAATTGCAATAAAAAGTTGAGGTTGTGAAAGAAATCGTGGTAAAAAATTGGGTGTAGGAAGAAAATCGTAGTAACAAATTGAGCGTAGGAAGAAAATTATAGTAACAGATTAGGTGTATAGAGAAATAACAAATAGAGTGCAGAAAGAAAATCGTACCATCGAACTGAGTATAGAAAGAAAATTGCAATAAAAAGTTGAGGTTGTGAAAGAAATCGTGGTAAAAAATTGGGTGTAGGAAGAAAATCGTAGTAACAAATTGAGCGTAGGAAGAAAATTATAGTAACAGATTAGGTGTATAGAGAAATAACAAATAGAGTGCAGAAAGAAAATCGTACCATCGAACTGAGTATAGAAAGAAAATTGCAATAAAAAGTTGAGGTTGTGAAAGAAATCGTGGTAAAAAATTGGGTGTAGGAAGAAAATCGTAGTAACAAATTGAGCGTAGGAAGAAAATTATAGTAACAGATTAGGTGTATAGAGAAATAACAAATAGAGTGCAGAAAGAAAATCGTACCATCGAACTGAGTATAGAAAGAAAATTGCAATAAAAAGTTGAGTTTAGGAAGGAAATCATGGTAAAAAATTAGAAACAAAATTGGAAAAAAATCGTACTATCAGTTTAGGAGTAGAAAGAACATCGTAATAAAAAAGATGGGTGTAGAAAGAAAATCATAATAAATTGTGGGTGGAAAGAAAATCGTAAGAAAATCGTAATGAGGGAGCGTTGGATTCTAAGACAAAAGTTGCTAAATGGAATAAAACACAGTAAATGCAGAGAATAATCAAGAGAATAATCGTATCTCCTCTTCCCAAATTGTCCATTTTTGTGCGCAGTCTGAGCGCGAATTAGGAAGAAATTACTGCATCAAACATATAAATTAGCTTGCATTGAGCTTCTGATTGTTGCAATCGCGGCGCAGAATTTCCATTTTGCACAAAGATCCGCAGTGATGATAGTAATAATTAGGTGTACAAAGAAGATCAAAACAGAAATGGATGTACAGAGGAACTCGGAATAGAGTGTGCGAAGAAAATCGTGATGAAAATAGACGCACGGAGAAAATCGTAGCAAAATTAGACCGTCGAAGAAAATGGCAACAAACTGTCGGCGCAGACAGAAATTTTTGTGCAAACGGAGCCAGAAATTGATTGGGAGTGGGCATTGATCAACGAGTCACTGGGAAACGCGAAAACTGGGCCATAGCGGCTGCCAAAACCAATTGACTCTGACAATGGGATTCCATTTATTTGTACGCATCTCGCACAGCATCCCGAACAGCATTGACCTCCTAATCGTCGACCGAAGGACGGATATTCAAGTGGAGTAACTCGGCAATTGTGTTTCCACGTCGACCGTACTTCCTGGAAAAGTTTGTAGAGTTCGCGAATTTTTGTTTCCGAGACAAAAATCACTGATTGCGAAACTGTGCGTTTGCGTCGTCGTTTCAGCTAGCAAAATGGTGGACAGATGTATAGATGTTAGATGGTGGTACGCATGTCTGACAGATTCTTGCATTAAATTGTTACGAACACGTTGTAACACGTTCTGTGCCAACACGTTGCAACATTTTATTACAAACTTGTTTCTTGATTTTTTACTGGAACTTGCATTTGATGTATTACACTCTTTTGAATCGACCTGTATACATAAAAAATGTAGCAAAAACTACGGTCCAACGAGAATCACTAGGAACATTGTAATATTGTTCATGAACAGAAGAATGATAAAGAGATAATAATGAATGCGTCAAAATTAATGAACATACAAATGCCAAAATAATTGGTAAAATGCTACAATACATAATACAACTTAGCTACCAATAACAATAATAACAATAAAGTTACAGAAAATACTGATAAAAATTTCCATTTCAATGTATCCTAAAAATAATATCAATTAGAGACGAACAGCTGAGAAAAGCAAATACAATAAAAAGATAATAATAAAAAGATTGAACCAATAACAAAATTATTTTCAACATCCGCGCAAGAAATCCACGTATCGGTTCTCAAAGTCTGAAACCCTAGACCAGCTGTCCACAATTAAAAATCAATTTTCAAATAATTAGCACTAATCGCGCAGCGTTTGTTGTAGACGAGGACAAGAGAAATCAAGGAACACGGGTCACGGATAGGCAGAAAACACAGAAGACGAAAGTACCGTGTCAGCCCTCCTGAGCGACGACCGCGGCCGGTCCCGAGCTCGGTCGGCTAATAAGAGAATAATGCATCAATTAAATAATGCATAAAATTTCGAGACGGTCCCGGGGGACGATTTAAATATCGAGAAACGACGGGACACGGCATTGGCCGGCCGGTTAACTGGGGGACCAATGGAAACCGTGAAAGAAGACAATGAATCTGCACAAAGGGAAACTATGCCGTATCCTGTTTGAGGCGACCCACGGGGCAAGTGCAACCACAATGCGTTCGTATGCTCGCGCAATTGCGCCCAATGAAAATTGATATACCGACAATTAGCTCATTGACCGACAAGTCGCGCGTAGACGACGGCCAACGTGTACACAAGGCAGCCTAAATGATTCCTGCCACGGCCGACGCGAGTTACGGCTGTTCGGATTCGGCAAGAATCATTCGCGCGGCCTGTACACGCGTTCCGGCCTTCGCCGAGTGTGCCCAATTTCCCGTGATATTATGCAAGTTTTGTCGCTCGCGACCGCCCACTCGTTAAACAGATCTATTTTACGCCGGGAACGAATTCATTTGGAATCGCCAGCTTTTTCCCGCCCTGGCTACCGCGAGCTCGCCTTTTTTTCTCGCCGACGCGCGAGAGGTGGTACGAGAGGTAGCGATTAGGCAAACAAAACTATTAAGTCGCGCGTTATTCATGCTGGATTATTCAAGGAGAAAGGTATGTTCTGAATTTTTTGAGTAAATATTTTATTGGGCTGTGTTTCAGGAGGTAGCAAATAGGTGGACCAAGCTGGATCTTGCAATATTTATGTTAGATTATTTAAAGAGAAAGGGATATTCTTAATTTAGAGTTAATATTTTATTGGGCTGTGTTTCAAAATATAACAACTAACTGGACAAAGCTAAGTCCTGCAGTATTCATATTGAATTATTTAAGGAGAAAGGAACATTTTTAATTCTGAGTAGCAGTTAGAATATAGCAGCTAGATGGACAAAACTGGGTCCTACAATATTTATGTTGAATTATTTGAGGAGAAAGGGACAATTTTAATTTTGAGTAAATATTTTATTGAACTGTGATCCAAAATATAGCAACTAAGTGGACTAAGCTAGGTCCTGCAGTATTTAGATTGGATTATTTAAGGAGAAAAGAATATTTTTAATTCTGAATAAATATTTTATTGAACTGTGATCCAAAATATAGCAGTTAGATGGACTAAGCCAGGTCCTGCAGTATTTATATTGGATTACTTAAGGAGAAAGGAACATTTTTAATCTGGAGTAAATATTTTATTGAATTGTGATCCAACTAACTAAAGCAACTAAATGGAAAGAACTAGTTCTGTAATATTTATGTTGGATTATTTAAGGAGAAAGGAACATTTTTAATTCTGAGTAGCAGCTAGAATATAGCAGCTAGATGGACAAAACTAGGTCCTGCAATATTTATGTTGAATTATTTGAGGAGAAAGGGACAATTTTAATTTTGAGTAAATATTTTATTGAACTGTGTTCCAAAATATAGCAACTAGATGGATTAAGCTAGGTCCTGTAATACTTATGTTGGATTATTTGAGGAGAAAGGAACATCTTTAATTTCGAGTAAATATTTTATTGAACTGTGATCCACAAAATATAGCAGTTAGATGGACAAATCTAGGTCCTGCAGTATTTATATCGGATTATTTAAGAACAAAGGAACTCTATTTTATATTAAACGGGTGTTCGAAAAGTTGCAACGAAATATTTGACACTGATATAGCCCAACATGGAATTCCAATAAACGCATCCGGTTCCTCAATGAAATAGTCGCTATCAAGGGATGGTGATGTATCACACCACCATGAAACTATGTCGCTGACAGTCTGCCAGTTACAGATACAGAACAGAAGAAGATTGCCCAACCCAGTTTCTCCTCGGCAAGATTCATATATTTTTGCGTCTCCGTTATTCCGTAACCAATTGCCCGCCTTCCAGTATCCAAGAGAAACCTGAGCTCCCAAAAAATTCCCCTACACCGGAAGACCCTAAAACCATCGCATTAAATCACTCACCAATTTAACACAGTCCACCAGCGTCCAATCCCTCTCAATTATCCTCAAAACAATGCTCAAATATCACTCTCGAGACCGATTT